TCATATCATAGTTCTATTTCTAATTTTTTGAGGAAGCTCCATACTCTTTTCCATAGAGGTTGCACCAGTTTACATTACCACCAGCAGGATATGAGTGTTCCCTTTTTTCCACTGTGATTTTTATTTCGTATCAGCTCAAAACCCAAACAAGCTGGATGACAAATTAAAAATGAAAACATTGATGAATAAATGGATAGAAAAACAGTTGAACCATAAATGATTCATATACAGGCCATCTTTTGATACATTTAATTTAGGGTATAAAAATAATTATGCAGAATTTTGGCTTTAAAAATTAATTAGCATTTATGAGTTAAACGCTGCTTCTTGTCTGTTCTTAATTTGTACAATAAATCCATATTCTAGGTTCAGTTTGGTTTTCATGAAGGAATCATGGCTATAACAGATACGTTTCAAATATGTTTACTAATAGCTCATACAAACACAAATGATATATGTTAATATTTCTACTATTTTTCCTTTTTCTTTCTTCTAAGTTAATAACAAGAAAATGTGTTGTTAATTTAACAATATCCCTCAAACCTGTAGTAAGTTATTATTTCAACTTTCTCTTAACTCATTTTAATTCCAAATATAAATGTAATACTATCATTCAAACTTCAATTTGGGCATTCAAAAACACCTTGCTAAATTTGAGAAGTCCTAATTTTAGAGAAGCTCTGTTGGGTCCTATTTCAATATTACCGGTATACTTGAAAGTGTGAAAAATGGGCAGTAAAAACTGAATGCTTTTATGTGTAAAAACCTACATAATACCTAAAAATATAGCTCTTCAAAAACAGAAATTTAGATATAAAAGTCACCTTCCATAAAAATATTTTTTAAATTGAAATAACTGTATAGATCAATAATATTGTATAGTGTAGTTTTCTACTCTGAATGCAAATGAATTATTTCAAATACGTACCAAATTTATCAGTATACTTTTCTATTTAGTTTAGCAGTGCATGAGCACTGTGCCAAATACATATAAGTGCTTAAGAAATGTTTATTGACGACCGTATATGACAAACCCACCCATACACAAAAAGATGTTCAACATCGCTAATCATTAGGGAAATGAAAATCAAAACCACAATGAGATATCACTTCACGTCCATCAGAATGGCTATCATTAAAAAGATAAGAAATAACAAGTCTTGGAGAGGTTGTGGAGAAAAGGGACTCATACACTCATGGTGGGAATGCAAACTGGTGCAGTAACAATGAAAAACAGTATGGAGACTCCTCAAAAAATTAAAAATAGAACTATCATATGATCCAGGTATTCTGCTTCTGGGTATTTACCTGAAGAACGTGAAAACACTAATTTGAAAAGATATATGCGCCCCTGTGCTTATTGCACCATTCATATATACCACATAGTTGTTATAATCATATAAAATTTCAGAGTTGCTTATTGTTTCTGCTTTTGCTTTCTCTGATTGTCATGATTCTGTCCCTTTAACTATGACTGTTGCCTACCCAGCCACTATGTATTGCCTAAAGAAAACATCGCTTAAATAGTACCAGCACTACTGAAATTTGTAGAAAATTTTAATTCTTTGTGTCTGCTTTCATTGTGCTTCTCCTATCAATTTCCAAACTAACCTTAGATTATAGTAGGAGTGGAATGTGAGAGAAAAGTAAAGAAATTTAAAGTTATATTATCATTTGTTTATGAGAGAGAAAATTAGATCCAAGTAAAGGTATGTGTTTAGTAATATTTTCCTTACTTATCTGAGTTAAATTCATCATGCTTCCATAAAACTAAGCAGTGACTCCTCATATCCGTATTTAGTAGCTAATTTCCTGAATTGGTCATTTAAAGAATTAAACTCAGTTTTTTAAAGGAAAATATTTTTAATTTTAAAGATAAACATACATTTTCAAGTGATAAATGTAGGGTTTGGAATCAAAATCTGGAGATTGAGGTTATTCAATCATGCGTGTTTACATCCAGAAAGAGGCAGAGTTGACTTTGATATACATTGGTTAAACACTGAATTAAAAACATTGTGGCTGTGTGGTGATGGACTGTAATTAGTTTTTGGGTGGTGAACATGATGTAATCTACCCAGAACTTGAAATATATTACGCTGTACATCTGAAAGCTGTATAATGTTATAATCCAATGTGACTGCAGTAAAAAAACCCAAACACTGTGGCGTATTTATATTATCAAGTATAAAGTCTGTGACGGCAGGGATTTTTGTCTATTTTGTTCACTGATTATTCTAAGTGGCTAGACCAGTGCCTGGCATATAAAAATTGCTTAATAAACATTTTTTAATAAGTGACTAAACCTTCACGAAACTAATTACTACCTAAAGGGTTAATGTTCTTTCTAGGTTTGCAATTTGTATATTTGCTTACGTTTTAGAAAGGGCATTGTCTTTTTTCTCCCCATTTTTTTCCCTGGTTTTTAAAACTTTGAAAAGAATTGCAAGTGATGAAATACATTTTAAAATATTTTATTTGGTGATCTTATTAAGCTGGAGTAGAACAGATTTAGAATGGATTGGGAGAGAGGGACTGCTTGGAATTAGGTCAGTTTCTTAATTCTTCCTCTCGTGTAGAGATATTGCAACATGTATGCAATGTTTTTAAAAATGGTCTGTAGTATTCTTCTGCCAGTTGTAATAATGTGTAATACCTAAGGGTAAAATAAGAATCGGGTAGTAGTTTTAATTCCAATTGTCACTGTCCTATTTTTATTTTTGCTTATGTTTGCATGATATTTATAATCACACACATAGACATTCAATTCTTTTAGATGTCCTAGATTCACAATGTATGAGACACACCTATATGTATGCATATTAACTTATAGTAAGTATAAATGAGGTATTTTATTCTCACCTTCATAAATGAGTATAAGGTCAGTAATTCACAGGGGAATGAATCTTGAGGTTTCTATATTATGTAATCCCAATGCTCATCACTGAGCAAATGATGCTAAAAATACCACAGGCAATGGTCTTTTTGTGTTGTTTACTAGGACAGAGAATGTCTTCAGCATTAACATTACTCACTATTATGCTTAAAATGTTTTATAAATGGCATCAACTGCTCAACACAGGAAAGTGGTTGGACCCATACTATATAATTTTTAAATTCTGTAATAAGAATTTATAAAATGAGATGTTTCAAGTTTCTCTAGTTGATTTCTAGTTGGTTCTATTCATGACTTAAACTATCTCAATTGTTGCAACAAATGCATATATTCTAATACTGATTGCGGATAGGGCAGTTTCTTTTTCTCCACTTTGTGTCTTCCGACCTGTCCATATGCACATTTTTTAAAAATGCAGATGCACAGCTATTGGTGGTAAAATTATTTAATATGATACATTTTTGGGCATAATCAGACTATAATATCCATAGAAAGTTCTTTATATCATTTCATGAGTCTTCCTGTTTTCAGAACCGTTGCCAAAATTTTGTTAATGTTATTGATTCCCAGTAAATATTGGGAGCTTCTTTAACTAGATACCCATGTGCATTGATAGATTTCTGTAAGGTATTTTTAAATGACCATCTGTCAACTGATCTTTAAAACTTCTGAATGCATTGATAGTTGCATTAATCCTATTTAATTATAAAAATATATCATCTGATAGGGTTTAGTGCAGTGTGACACAAATTTTGTTTTGGGTTTATATGACATATTACCTACAAATAACATTCAGAAGCACATTCAAGTGTTCCATGACACTAGATATTAAAATACATTTAATATACCAAATTGAGATTATCTCAAACAAATCAAATTGAGAATCAATAAAGGAAATTGACAAACATTTTGCAAATTATAAAGAAATCAAAATTCCTTATTGAATTTTATCAGAACTGGAGAACTGACATAATTTGACAGATTTAAGTCAGTGAAAAATAGTAAGCAAGAGGGGAAAAAAGCAGCCAGAGAGACTATTTTTTGACTCACTGCTTTAATTCAGTAAAGTGTTTTTAAATGCCTTTCTTATTTTTAAACCCTAATCAGGCTGTTCCTTGTAGTTGAGTAATTCTTATGTCAGTTTGTAGATGTGAAAAGCCGTTTTCATATAGGTTACTCTCTGCGATCTATAAACATAAATTCTCAGAGTTGTGATGTCTTCTGGTCCAGTTCTTCCATTGAATGTTTGGATGTTGCTTACCAGATCATAAACATGTAGATTTAAACTGGTGATCCAGCTCCTATATCAGCACCTCCAAAGATAGAATTCACTATCTCCTGAAAACCATTTCTTTCTCAGTCTGTTTAATATGCAGTTGTTTATGTGTATCTGCAGGTTGCCTCCCTGACTCTTATACCTATTCTTGTTTCTCTCATCCAAAGAAAGAAAATTTTAATCTCCTTTTCACTTACAGTTCTTCCCATGTTTAAGCATTTGTCACATCAACCCCTTTCCTCGCTCAAAGGACTTTTCTTCTTTAATCCAAACGTACTGAATCCCTCATATGTCATGATTCTGTTTTCCTTTTATCTAGATGGAATTTACTTTTTGATGCCCAGAAATGAACACATTGAACATTGCATAAAACATTCATTACCAATAGAAGAATTGCATTTGAAAGCCATATTATAACAAATAATAATGATCATATTCTTGTGATTGGTAACAAATATCCCTTTACTTTTCCCTAACTACTAAATTAAATGTTTTTTTAAATTTTTATTACCTTTACTTATCTTGGTTTATTATAATATTGTCTTTCATATCTTTTATCAATGGTGAACACTTTTATAAATACTCTGGGTCTCTTAATTACTGTAGGTAGCTTGTTTAACTTACCTTTCATCTTAAGGTAAAAAGGCATAATATCAGATTCAAAAATCTGTCATTGGTTTATTTATCAGTGTTGATTGTGCTAATGATTTTCATTTACTGATCTTAATTTAAAACTGAGCATTTAGTTAACATACATTTAATCATTGGCTTCAATAATTTCTTATTCTCTCTCTTTCTTTTTTTTTCCTTACTTTTGTTCTTTGACAGTTTTCTGTGCGTTGATACAGAGAACCGTCACAATCGTGCCTGGTATGGACTTGTTGTCCGGGACGTATATATTTGCGGTCCTGTTAGCATGCGTCGTGTTTCAGTCTGGCGCCCAGGAGAAGAACTACACCGTCCGAGAAGAAATGCCAGAAAACGTCCTGATAGGCGACTTGCTGAAAGACCTCAACTTGTCGCTAATACCAGACAAGTCCTTAACATCTCCTATGCAGTTCAAGTTAGTGTACAAGACTGGGGATGTGCCACTGATTCGAATCGAAGAGGGTACTGGTGAGATCTTCACTACTGGAGCTCGCATTGATCGTGAGAAATTATGTGCCGGTATCTTGGTGGAGGCTCGATGCTTTTATGAAGTGGAGGTTGCCGTTTTGCCGGATGAAATATTTAGACTGGTTAAGATACGTTTTCTGATAGAAGACATAAATGATAATGCACCATTATTCCCAGCAACGGTTATCAACATATCAATTCCAGAGAACTCGGCTATAAACTCTCGATATGCTCTCCCAGCGGCCATTGATCCTGACATAGGAATAAACGGAGTTCAAAACTACCAACTAATTAAGGTGCGTTTTAAAAACACTTTGTTAAAGATAGCTCATTTTTTAAAGACAAAAAAAAAGGATCTTAGTGTACTTCAAGTTTTGGGTAAGCCTTCACCTCAATTTTTCAAAGTTTAAGCAAAGCATAGTGGAGAAAATTTATTAACGCAATTTGCAATTGCATGGTGTTTATGAATCTTCGTTTTATGTTTATTCATTTTCAAGCAGTTGTTTGTGTTTCCCTTAACAATCTATTATACAGGTCAGACAAGGAGCTCAGCCCTGCTACTGACCAATCGATGACCTACTCAATATCTTCCTTTTAATCTGTCTAGTCGTGACTCCCCTGCAAACTTGACGTAAACAAGCAAATCTAACCATTAAGGATGAACTCACAAATCTATCACTTTTTCTCAGTGATTATTTTAGATAGAAAGCTTTATCTTGCCATTTGAAAAGATGCCGAGGAAATTTATTTTGGAGATGAATAGAATATTTTTATTACTAGTATTTCCACACTTATATGCAATAATAACTAATATTTTTCACAATGATTTCAAGTCAAGGCAGTATCTTCAAGCTTCTCTTGAGTCATCAAAATGAGATTAAATTTTAGCCAATATGCTGTTAATGTTAAGTATTTTCATTTTGTTCCTATTCTTTGAAAACACAGAACATTCACTTACTGTAAAGGGTAAGTAAGCTTTTTAGCCAAAAAGTTTCGGTCAATCTGAAGAACCTATGTTGGCTTGATGTTGGTCTTGGGGTGGGGAAGGCAGAGGTAAGAATAGATGGAATATTTGGTTGTCTTCCAAATACGTGCAGAGAGACCACTTTTATCAAGTGAATGGACAATTCTTTTTAATTACCTATATAGTAGATAAAATAGTAGAAAACTCACATTTGGGTCTGTGAAATAGCTTAATGCACTTGAATGATCTCGGACAATGTGTAAAGGAACAAATGTGCAGGTTTAATGTAGATATAGCAAAGGAATTTTCAAAGGTTTATAGTCATTTTCTGACTATTCACTGCCAGATTATGATTAACACGATGACCAATGTTAAAAAATATTCAAAGAATACATAAATACGACATTTTGATGTGTGCCATCTGATGGTTTTGGCCTGGAGGATGTGTAATAGTGGAGAACTGCTCAGCTGATGCCAATATGTTGTGGAGATATATTTGTTTATAAATGCATTCAGAAATTGAAGGCTACAGATCTCTTGAGTGAATTCAAGTGAAATGCAGACTTGTGTGTGAGTATAAGGAGTGAAAACAGAAAAAGAAGGGATAGCTGATTTATAAATGAGAATTTTTAGGTAAGGTCCTTGAAGTGGTATCTCCTTCTCTGATGAAATAGAAAAATATGCAAGAGTCAGAAAGCTATGGATCACAATTGTGTGCTTATCACTGCCTAGACATGCCACCTCCAGCTTAAGCTTTCTAAACCTTCAGTTTCTTTAATCATAATATGAGGATGATGATATAAATGTCACAGAAGCAAAACTGAGAAGAGTAAGCACTAAATAGAGAGTAGATACACCTGTGTAGAAGACTTCTGGAGATGCTTTAAAATATTTGACTCTATACAAATGTGAGGCTTATCACTTTAAATAGGAAGCTGTGTAGTAGATAGAGTGGATACCATCTCAAAAATCTCTGTAATAGAACTTTCTGCAATGACAGAAATTCCATGGTCTGCGTTATTCAATATGGTAGCTACTGGCCACATGTTGCTTTTTAGTACTTGGAATGTGGTTCATGTAACCAAGGAACTGAATTTTTTATTTTATTTAATCTTAATTTTAATAGCCACATGTAGTTAGAGGCTATGATATTGGACAGCACAGCCTAAACAAAGAAAAACAGTTTATTTGGAAAATAAAAATTGGCAAGTAAAATCAAAATGGGACCCTACCAAATTTAAATCAGGTATTAGTAATAGAGTCTCTCCACCCAACCATCCTGAAAAATGTGTTGTTTTGAAATGCAGTGCTTTACTCAAAGAATGATTTTGTCATGTCTCCCTCAGGGCGGCTTAATGAACTTCCAAGGAATTTCTAATTTGTCTTGAAAACTGCTTAACAAATTCAAATAAAGAAAATAAACCTACTGGCATAATTTTAGCCTTGTTAAAATATGTTTTCATTTGAATTTTTTGAAAGATTGTCAGCAAATGACAGAAAGGCTCACTAGGTGTTCTTAGATGAGTCTTAGAAATAGATATGCTCTAAAATTTCATTCTGCTTTGGAATGTGTGATAAACCAAAAGTGAACTATATGATGTACCTAAAGTACTGGGGCATTTGTATGGCCCCATGGATAAATAGTGTCCTGACTGCTTGTTAAAAATAATGAGTATGGAACACAAAGCTTAGCCCTGGGCATGCAGAGGGCCATGGCATGGGTGACATTAACTGAGTGCGCTTTGACTTACAAAAGGGTCCTGTCAAGAAAGTGTTCTGTATGCTGGGGGGATAGGGAGGTTAAATAAAAAGAAAGAAAAAAACACGTTGTGATTCATCCATAAACTTTAATAAATGTTACAATTTGAAAGTAAGTAATCCAACCATGATAATTGATTTTAAAAGACCCTCTGTCTTGCAGAATAGGATGAGAATTTAATTAAATATTAATTTTTCTATTTTTGTTGAATAGACAAGGCTAGCAAAATCATAGCTTATCCTAAATAGGGAAATATAAAATTTATATGAAAAGTTTGATAGCAAAGAGAGAGAAGGGGGAGACATAGAGAAAAATTCTAGGGAAAAATAGGTCAATTTATACATGAAGGGACCCTGCTATTGACAATTCTGTATTAATTAACTGAAAATAAAGGCAATGGTGGAAAAGATTAATTAAATGTATCAAAAATGTATATAATATAAAGTAACATAAGCCAAAATTAGCATATTTATATTCAAAACTTTTACATATAAATAATTTAATTTCTGCATTTTTGTGATATTAAATACGCTTTGGCACAAACAAAGCATTATTATTCTACATTTTAAATATTTGGAAAAAGCACTTCAGAGTCACTATTTTGCTTGTCATCATATGACTAGTAAATGATAGAACTGGGAACCAGAATAAGGTCTTCTGACTCTTAGACTTGATTGACAGACACACAGACAGACAGATAGATAACTTTGAGGGAGGGGATCACAGTAAGTTCATGATATAAGAAGATGGAAGAAAAAGGAAAACAAGAAAGAAGAAGAAAAAGGAGAAAGTGAGGAATGAAAGGATTAAGTGATTGCCAAGTGATTCTGCTTAGTACAAAGAAAATTATGTTAAAATTATCTATGTGACTTTGACAAGGTTAATTTTCAACTTTGTAAGAGATTTGGTTATTTTCTAAAGAAAGAAAGATTTGTCTATAAAAGTTTGTGATATTGGTTGCCGCTTAAAAAAATATTCAGAAGTGAAATCTCTTTTCCTTATTTTCCAAATAAGGTCATGCTATAATGAGAATTTCCTGTGGTATTTTGATATAATTTCCCTTAATTTTGACTATCTGTGCCAAAGATTTATAACTATATGTATCTATATACCCATATATGTGTATATATACCGTTTCGTATATATTATTAATATATCATTTTGTTGACATTATTAAATAATATATGTAAAAATATATTATTATACATTATATTTGGTATATAGTGTACACTGTTCACTATCTGCATTTATCATCTATCTAGTATATATATATAGATATAAATACAGATATAGATATAAATACAGATATAGATATAGATATAGATATAGATATACTGCCCAGCCCTTGCAGTATTTGAGAGTTATTGGCCAGGAGTAGGAAATTACAATATCTCTTTAACTTTCACTCAATTATGCTGATGGCCTGTTATTTATAAGGCTTTTTTAAATATTCTAAGTCTTGTTGACAGGGAAGCCAATATTTTCACAAATAGAAATATACTTCAAACACCCACTCTGACTCACTGTATGAATATAAACCACAGGGACCTACTTCTTCCCATGGTTGGAACTCAGGGGAAATTAGTTTGTGTAATGATGTTACATGTGTCTTCATTTTCTGCTTCAGATTTCCATCTTCCCTCACATATATCAGCAGTAATATTTCTATACTAGCCCAGTGACAATGTGTTGATTGGTTCCCTTGAGGCAGGCATGACGATGTTTCAAAGGTTGACAGCTTGTGCTGACAGAGCGTGAAAATCAAGTTTTTCTCACATTGGTGATCCTAGTCAAAGCCCTCACCCATTTTTGCCCATCCCATAAAGCATCCTCATCTTTTCCATCAGTTTCAAAAGAAAGTTGAATCTTGGGCAGAGTCTTATCCCATAAGCAGGATTTTAGGCCCTTGTTTATATTTTATTTAAAGCAAGATATATTTAGTCTTCACTTTTAAAACTAAATGAGAATGAAAATCTTCCTTGCTGATCAAGAGCTTGGATTTAGGAAACAAACGTTAGAGTTAGATTTGTTTTGAAGTCTGGGATTAGAAAGTCCAAATTGTGAAAATCTCATCTACCATTAGATTTAGTAATCTTGAATCAAATTGCCAAGAATGAAGCTTCGAATAATATATTGTGGATACAAAGAGCAAGAAAACTTTATTGCTCTGAAGGAATTAATATTTCTTTATCTGTGTAACCATAGCTCAAAGTGGTGTGTGTAGTATCAGGAGTGCATAAGGATACATTAATGCCCCTTACGGGCAGAATATGCTATAACAATGTGCTTAACTGTTTTAAAAAGCATAGTTGCCTCTACAGGGCTCAGAAAAGTTTGAATATAGTGATTTTCTCATTTTTTTCAACTATAAAATGAAGTTGTACTTAGAAGTTTAAGCCTTCCAGCTTTAAGATAACTTGATTTTATATTCTCTGAATTCTGTGATGTGCAGATTCACATTTTTTATCTGTGCTAAAAAGCGAAAGAGATGACGATCAAATGCTAATGACTATTAGGTCTCTGAAAGCTGGGGGTTATTATCAAAGTATACCTCCAGTGGGGAAAAATGACAA